TTAGCCTCCTGGATGAACCTGTTTGTTTTCTTGGCAGTCCATGGTACATTCAATACTCTTCTCCAGCACCACAGCTCAAAGGCATCAATTTTCCTTCTATCATCCCTAGTCATTGTCCAGCTCTCTGATACATAGCAAGTGATTGCAAAGACCATGGCCTGTATCAGGTGCACCTTAGTCTCCAGAGTGATACCATTGTTCTTCAATACTTTGGAGAAGTACCTAACAGCAGATTTTCCCATCACAATACATCTTTTAATTTCCTGGCTGCTGGTGCCAAGAATGTTGATTGTGGAGCCAAGCAAACTAAAGCTGTGAACAATGATATTCATAGGAATCAAATTTATTACATTCGTGGAAAGAATCACTGGAGAAGCTTAGTATCAGCTGTGAAAAGTAGGCCAGGTGATGATTCTGGAACAGCCCACCAACTACTCATAGGCAAATTAAAGCTGAAGTTGAAGAAAATGAAATCAAATCCACAGGAACCAAAATTTGACCTTAAGTCTATCCCACTTGAATTTCAAAACCATTGCAGGAAAAGTTTGAGGCCTTGAACACCAATGAGCAAAGACCAAATGAGCTGTGGGACAATATAAAGAGTATCATCCATGAAGAATGCAAGGGATCATTACAAAGGCAGAGAAAGAAAAAAAGACCGAGGCGGATGTCATATGAGAGCACTGGATTTACTCATAACTTTAAAAAACTCACTGGATTAGACTGTGCCTGGGAGTAAATGAAGACTTCAAACAGTTTTGGAAAGTTTAAATTTGAAAAACGTGTTAATGACTGATGCAGAGGAAGAGTCTGAAAGAGCTCTGCGGTGTCTGTGATGTTAGAGGGCAACATTTAGAGTGCATTAATTCGCATTATTACTGATTCTTAGCTATTCCTTTAATTCCACCTATCTCAAATTTTCTTGACATACTTTCCTATTGTTGTCTAGCAATATTTTTGACAAAAGAATTAGATTAAATTTGTTCTCTACTTTCTCTTTCATGACTTTTTCCTACTACCTGTATTCCCATGTCAAAGGTGATTAGCCAGGATATTATGAATGAGACATGGAGAGGAAACCAAGAAGTTATAATTTCAACTCTGTCAAATATTTTTGTTATTAAGAGGTTTGCCCTACTTGTCCTTAGTTTCCATTGCAGAATATGGAAGTTCCTGGAAAGTATTGATGTGCATTTAAGTTGTCTTGTCAGTATGCTGCAATGAATATGCTTATTAAATACTGCTGCTCTTTTCATCATGTTTAAACCACCTATCATACTGTTGTTGTTGCTGCTGTTATGTACCATTGAGCTGACCATGACCCATAGCAACCCTATGAAAAATGGCTCTGAAGTTGGCACTATTCTGAGCCAATCTTACCATCTCTGACACACCTGACCCCATTATCACAGGGCCTCTGTCAATTCATCTCGTCTAGGATCTCACATACTTTGGGCATGTCTCCACGAGGAACCAACCCTGGTAGAAGAAATGTTAAGCAAATTATTGATGATCCTTTTACTTTTAAATCAATGAATGAGTAAAATAAGCTTCTGTATGATCTAGAATTTATGTTTGGTAGAGGAATGAGATTTCAAAGTCTACTAGAACCGTGGTCTTTTAATCATTTAGTGGAATGACTCTAGGCTAAAGTTCCTCAATCCATAGTCATATAGAACACTGCTTATTTATGTAAAAAACTAGATAGGATTTGTGTTCACTTGATCAAGGTAAGTCTCATGTTATGCTTAAGAATGTGGTGCTGTTGGGCTGAGTGTTAAGGAGGCTGCTGCCTGTATCCTGTGACACAAGGTCTGTGGGGCTGTATGCCCTTCCCTCAAACAATAACCCATTTATCTCCTCCTTCTGAATGGCTTCTTTTCTATGAATTTTGGGGTTCTCCGCAGCTAAGCATATGTTTTAAAATAATAATTTATCTGAATTGGTCAATGTCTCCCAATATCAGTATCAGTGGTTATCTTGGTTGACTTTTGTTGGCTTCTAACTTAGAACAAGAACGGACCAAACAAGGTGACTCCAAAGTGGAGATGTAGCAAACCATTTGACAGAAGGAAATACTTAAGTGCTTTATGGTAATTCCTGTTGACATGCTTGTTCAACACATTAGGGCAGGGCTTTAGGCAGAGAAATTTGTCAGTCAAATGTTAACATGTTTTTAAGATATAAAATTTAAACAATTATCTATTTAGAGAATAATATATACTCATTTTCATTTGTCAACTATCTTGTTATTGCACATTTTGTATTTATGATGATAGTGAAAAATTTCCTGTCTGACATTTTGCATTTTAATGGCAGAGATATGTCTAGCAGTTAACAAACACTAAGGGACAAGCTATGAGTAACTTGGGCTGTGATGGTGAAGGTTATGTACTAACTTGCCTGGGCCATAACGTTTTCCAGTTGGGTAATAATATGATTTGGCAGTTATAAAGGGATACTGTTTGGCAGTTAAGTAATGATGCGATTTTACAATTACGCAGTAACTTGATTTGTCAATTACATAGTGAAGTACTTAACCACCATTTTTGTTTTCACCTAAAGACCTGGAATCTAACCGTGCCTGTAAGTAAGAAATGGGTATATAATGATTCCTTTTATGTCTATCATCCAGGTTCAACAATTATCTACGTGTGACAAATTTCTATGTGTTTCCCTGGAGTCAGACTCTCCCCAGTATATAAAGAAAAATGCAAGATAGGTTTTTGCTTTACCTTGTCTCAATTCAGGTACCATTTTTATCCCTCTTCTTCCTTTCTTACCGTTCTCATTCCATCAGTTCCATTCTAGCTCTTTTATTTTCACTTTCAGCACGACAGCTCTGATAATTCAACTCTGCCAGGATTTGGATCCATAACAGTTCAGCCCTGCACACTGAGCCAGACCAGCAGTGTCTCCTACCCTACCGTCTCCTGTTCTGGACAGCTGGCTCCACAATGGCAGTAAGGACGGTCTTGGTGCACATCAGGGTGATTTCTGTGCTGCTCTGGCTTACATCATCTCTGTCAGTATGTTTCCACTCCCAAGCCAGATCTTCTCAGCATTTCTCCTCTCCAGAAGTGGTGATGCCTTTGAAGGTGACCGGCAGAGGCAGAAGTCCAGGGGCTCCTGGCTGGCTCTCCTACAGCCTGCGGTTTGGGGGCCAGAAGCACATTATCCACATCAAAGTCAAGTCAATCTTAGTTTCTAGACATTTCCCAGTGTTCACTTACACAGACCAGCATGCCCTCCGTGAGGATCAGCCTTTTATCCAGGATGACTGTTACTTTCATGGTTATGTGGAAGGGGACCATGAGTCACTGGTTGCTCTCAGTTCCTGTTTGGGGGGTTTTCAAGGGGTGCTACAGATAAATGGTCTCACTTATGAAATCAAACCCATGAAACACTCTTCCACTTTTGAACACCTGGTGTATAATATAGATATGAATGAGGCAACTTCACCATCCATGAGCTGTGGCTTAACAGACGAAGAAATAGCACACCAATTGGAGTTGCAAGAAACATATAATTCCACATTGAAGCAAAGTTCTTTTTATGGCTGGTGGACCCATAAACGTTTTGTTGAACTGGGAGTGGTGGTAGACCATAATCGATTTCTTTATTCACATAGAAATACCACAGTGATCCAACAGGATGTATTTACTGTTGTTAATTTTGTGAATGGTATATATAAACCTTTAGATGTTGATGTGCTTTTGATTGGTATAGAGATCTGGACGAAGGGAAATCCCCCATTATCAAATAACGTCGATACGGCTCTGAATCAGTTTAAAGATTGGAAGCATGCCAATCTCAATCTGCGAATGCCAAGTGATATTACACATCTTTACATAAATGACTCCTATGGTACAAATATTGGTGCTGCCTTCCAGAAAGGTATATGCAGTAAGTTATATAATCTTGCAGTTATTAGTTTTCTAGGAAATGAGTTTTATGATTTATCAATTATTATATCACATGAACTTGGTCATAGTTTAGGTATGGGCCATGACACTCAATGGTGTAATTGTGGTGCCAGGCATTGCCTAATGTATCATAGCAAAACTAAAGCAACACCGCGATTTAGTAATTGCAGTTATGCCCAATTTTGGAACTGGTCTTACACAAATGGCCAATGTATTTATTATCCTCCTCTTCCAAACACGGTGCTTAAGTTGAATGTATGTGGAAACCTACTGGTTGAAGAAGGAGAGGAATGTGACTGTGGAACCATGTATCAGTGTTCTAGAGACCCTTGCTGTCTTCCAGACTGCACTCTAAAACCAGGGGCTGCTTGTGCTTTTGGGCTGTGTTGTAAAGATTGCAATTTCCTTCACTCAGGGTATTTGTGTAGACCACAGGCCAATGAATGTGATCTTCCGGAGTGGTGCAATGGAACTTATCATCAATGTCCAGAAGATGTCTATATGATGAATGGGATCCCCTGTAATGACAGTTCCTACTGCTTTGAAAAGAGATGCAACAGCCATGATACACAGTGTAAAGAAATTTTTGGTCAAAATGCAAAAAGTGCACCTCAGATCTGCTACAACAGGGTTAATTCTCAAGGAGATCGTTTTGGTCATTGTGGTATCAAAGATGAAAGTTACATAAAATGTGATATTGCTGACAGGCTGTGTGGAAGACTTCAGTGTGAAAATATGAGCATACTTCCCAGTCTGCATCAACATTCAACATTGCATCAGATGCAGTTCAAAAGCACCACGTGTTGGGGCACTGACTATCATGCAGGGATGCCCTTACCTGATAATGGTCTTGTGAAGGATGGCACAGACTGTGGTCCCCATAAGATCTGCCTAAAACATAAGTGTATTTCCATGTCTAGTCTGTCACGACAGTGTGATCCTATGACCTGCAACATGAGAGGCGTCTGTAACAGCAAAGAACACTGTCACTGTGATTATGGGTGGGCACCTCCTAACTGCTTGTTGAAAGGTCTTGGAGGTAGTTTTGATAGTGGCCCACCTCCTCCAAAATCAAAGCTGCAAGTTACCTTTTATCTGTTTTTATTACTTTGGCTAACTCCTTTGAGTTTTCTAATTATATATGCCTTCCACGTGCTTTTTATGAGAAACAAAAAAAGAGAGAAGGAAAGAGGAATGGCTACAGTAGAGGGGATTAAAACAGGGGGTATGGAAACAGAAGCTCAAAAATCAAAAGGAGTAGAGAAAAAAGAGAGCAAGAGGAAATCAACTGTAAGACAGAAAAGATGAGAAGACTTGGTCACACCTTTTGCAAAATATCTCTGAATTGTCTTCTGGCACAGAAACACTATTGAATGTTCTATCGTTTAAAATAACTCTAAGGGATCCCTCATGAGAGGGTAATAAACAGTAAATGCCACATCAAATGATCCTTAGCATGTTTCTATATACTCTTCAATATTTTAAGCAATATTAAAGCTTCTTTCCCCCATCAATCCTCTATAGTTTTCCTGAGAAAGACACAGATCCAATGACAGTTTTTTTAAGCTGTTTCGTCTCAGTCCTAAGCCCTTTCTCAGTTTTGCACTTTAACTACAGATTTTTTTTCTCCAGTTATCTTCCTGTCAACTGTGTTGAGGAGTTAGAGTGCAGTAGAAGTACACCTAAGTGATAGACAAGAGGAATTGTTACTGATGTTCTGTGCCATTAAATTTACTAATTTATAGCGACCCTATGAACAATGATTCTGATCCTTGCCTTATTCTGAGCCAACCTCACCATCTCCAGTACATCCTACCTATTGCCACAATCACTATGTCAATCTGTCTCATTGAAGATCTCCCTCTCTTAGGTTGATCTTCTGCCCTACAAAGCCTGATATCTTCTCTAAGAGCGTTCTGGCTTCACCCTCTTCAAGACCTGTTTGTTCTCTTGGCAGTCCATGGGATACTTAGTACTCTCTTCCAACACCACAACTCAAAACCAATTTTTTTTTCTTCTGTCATCCTTACTCATTGCACAGCTCTCAGACGCAGTGGATGATTGAAAAGATCATAGTCTTAATCAAGCATACCTTAGTCTTCAAAGTAACATCATTGGTCCTCAGTAATTTGGAGAGATCCTTGACTGCAGACTTGCCCAGTTTAATACACCTCCTGATCTCCTGACTGCTGGTGCCAGTGTATTTACTGTGGATCCAAGTAAGATGAAATAATTGACAGTTTCAATTTTTTTTTCTCCTTCTATCATGATGTCATCTATTGGTGCAGTCTTGAGAACTTTTGTTTTCTTCACATTGAGATGCAATCCATTTTGAAGGCTGTAGTGTTTGATCTTCTGCAACAAGTGTTTCAAGTCCTCTTTACTTTTCAGCAAAGCAAGGTTGTGTCATCTGAATACCTAAGATTCTTTTTTAATTGAGATTTAAATGAAAGTTTATAGAGAACTTGGGATTTCCACTCATTCATTGTTGCACATTTTCCTCTCTGCTCTCCCTTCCCCACTAGTTGCTTTTCTCTTCGGAAAAAGAAATGATTTCATTGTTATGCAGTCCCTGCTGCCCCAGTTCACTTTACTAAGCATCTTTTATTCTGGACTCTTGTTATGCCGATAATACCTAATCATATAGTCCTTTTATATAGTTCTCCCCCTTGTCTGTTTCAATGCCATGTGCATTATTTATCCCCTCTTTTCTCAGTTTCCTCCCCCAACACCCATGTCAGTCCCATTTTATAACACTGGCATTATGCAGTATTTGTCCTTTTGTGACTGAGGAATTTCACTCAGCATAATGTCCTTCATGGTCACCCACTTTGTATAATATTTTATAAGTTCATTGTTTTTCAGTGCTTCATAATATTCCATTGTGTGAGTATATCACAGCTTCTCTAGCCATTCGTTTGTTGATGGGCACTTGGGTTGTTTCCAGCACTTTGCTATAATACCAAAGATTATTGATGTGTCTTTCGCAAATCCTGATGGCACACTCCTCTTCATAGTCTAGCTTACCAAATAATTTGCTCAGCATAAAGATGAAAATAGGTAAGGGGAAAGGATACAACCTTGATGCACACATTTACCAGTTTTATATTATGCATATTAGTAATTTTCTACCATGTTAACATTTACTGTCATATGTATAAAGTGTTAATGATCCTTTTACTACAAAACTAATGAATGATTTAAATCACCTTCTACTTGATCTAGAAGTTATATTTTCAAAAGGAATGAGGTTTCAAAATTCAGGGGTCTTTTGATCATTTAGTGGCCTGATGGAAAGTTGCTTATTGTTAGGTGCAATCGAGTATACCCAATAAACAACAGATCTGATCCTTGTCCTGTCTTATGCCATCCTCACACCTGCTGATACATTAGAATCCATTGTGGTAGTCACCACCTCAGTCCACCTGGTCAAAGGTCTTCCTTTCCTTTGTTAACCCTCTACTTTTCTGAGTGTCATGTCCCTCTCCAAGGAATAGCCCTGCCTAGCAATATGCCCAAACTATGTAAGATGAAGCCTCGTTATCTTTGCCTCCAAAGAATACTCTGTCTGCACCCTCTCCAAGACATATTTGTTCTTTTGGCAGTCTATGGGATGCTCTGAGCTCTTCTCCAACACCACAGCTCAAAGACATCAATTTTTCTTTTGTCATCCTTATTCATTTTCCTGTTCTCAGATGCATAAATGACTTACTTAAGTAAAAATAGTATAGAAATTATGTTGAAGTCTCATTTTAAGAACATAGTGCTGTTTGGCTGGGTTTAAGAAAGACTGCTGCTTCTATGTTGTGATACAAAAGTCCATTGAATTGTGTGTTCTGCCCCCAAAACAACCCATTATCTTCCTCCTCTGAATAATGCTTCTGTCTTGTGATTGTTCAATGTCTCCCAATATCAATGCACCCCTTAGTGACTTAGAATACGAAGGGCTCTTAAGAAGGTGTCTGAAGTAATGAGGTGGAACAAATCAGTTGATATAGGGAAATAAAATGTTTTCTACTTGATAGATTGCCCATATATTTTTTAGTGTGAAAGTAGGTTTTTAGGTGGAGAAATTTGTGAGTTAAATGTCAACATGTGTTTTACATGGAGAACTTTACAGAATCTATTTATTTATTTCTTTTAAAACTATAGAATACTGCATGAATTTGCATGTCACCCTTGTACAGGGGCCATGCTAATCTTCTCTGTATTGTTCCAATTTTAGTATATATGCTACTAAAGCGATCACAGAATTTACATTTTGAGACTAATATTTACCCAGTCTTCCCTTATCGACTATCTTATTATAGGGCACATTGTATTTTCTTTGGTAAATTGTAACTTTTATTGTTATATAATTTGCAAAATAGGGTTGAAATGATTGTTATAGGTTTTAATGTTGACAAGAAGAGCTAGACTATAATACAATTGAAATACAGTGATGAGCTGTGCAAGTACATTTAAAAATGAAGTCACACACATAATTTTTGTTGTTTGAAGAAAATGACAAAATTAACAAGAAGCCACAGTTGAAAGAACAAATAAAATAGATGGACGGGATTGTGAAGATGAAGAATAGATATATTTGTTTCAGGTAAAAACCAACAGTGGTTTATTATGTAGTAAGAGGAACTGGAGTGGTGGATGGCATCTGATGAAACAAGAGGATGCTTAGGAACAATTGATTTTCCAGCCTGTCACAACACCTCAGCTGATTATATCTACATTTTTGCCAGTGGGCTCATTTACTGAAGTCTTTCAAAGGATATCTTCAGCTAATAGTGAGGAAAGCTCTGTAGATGTTTTTCTTTGGTTTTGCACTATTGTTGTGTACTGTCCATGGGAATTGATCCATATATTTTCCTCCAGTGGGTTTTCAAAGACAGTAAATATGCAGTTCAAATCTAGCAGAAGCTCCAAGGGAGACAGATGTGTTGCAGACTGAGGGTAAAGTATTTTTATAATTATTAATAATGAGACATACAGCTAGGAATGAGATAGAGCAGAGATCATAAAACAGGGGGCCAGCAGTTCTCGACTGAAGACCCCAAGACAAGCTTCTCTTTATCTTTATTGAAAATTATCTGGAAGTAAATCACAAAGAGAATTCAATGCAAATGAAGCCAAGCTCTTTCTATTGAAAACCTTCCCCTTGACTCAGGAGGGAGGGGTTAGCAAATGTAAGAATCTGGTAAACCCCCAAGGATTGCCTTAGTGCCTCAGGGTGAACTCTGGCTTGTACCTCACCTCCCCCACATCCTAAAATAGCATTCAGTTTATTATAAGTAGTTAGTATTGGTTCTCATACAGATGGGTAATCTCCTCTTTGGAGATTTCCTGCTCCTGAATACCCAGTGGAGGGTCAGCTATGGGTAATTTCTGATTCGTTACTATGTAGCAACAACAATATTAAGCCATAAGAGTTTCCTAGTCTCAAAAAAAAAAATCTAATCCTTTTCTCCCTTGCAATTTGTTCTCCTTTTCTTTTAGGTACAACTCTTGTATCTCCCATATCATCCTTGTTTCCTAATAACTTTCTTTCCACACCTTCATTAGCATCCTCAACTCTGTTTCTAAGCCATTTCTGATGTTTACAAAACTTTTACCATTGGTGATGACATATACCAGCATACAGCCATTGATCCTCTGTTAAGAGGTGGTGATGGTGTGAAATTTCTTCTGGCCTGCTATATCCCATATCCGTAGCTTGATCTTCTTTCCTTGTAATTAAACTGTTTTGATCTTGAAGTCTATTCCTATGGTTGTGATAAAGGTAGTACTGAAGGCATCAACTGAATGCAAAAAGGACTCTGGTTTTCCTTTTTTCTGGTTACTCCCAAGTCCTTGATCAAGTGCAACTTGAATAGCAGTTCAGATGTCTTCTTAACCATTTGGAGGAACTGCTCAGGCTCCTGCTGCTTCAGGTACCGAGGGATCAGTCCCTCTTACTAAGGCCAGCTCCTCAAAAGGCGTTGTCAGGCTGGAGGAGGAAGGAGGGATGGGAGGGGATGAGAAAGAGAGTTCAAGAATGCCTGGACCACTTAAAAATGGCCTGATAGTGTTCTGCCCACAAAATGCCCCTCAAAAGAATAATCCACACATATGTAAATACAAAAAGCACTTTATTCCAGAGAATATTCACATGTGGAAACTTTCTCCCTTAGTAGGAAGGTGGCCAGGGAAAAAAGCCCCGAGTCCTCCCGTCCAATTGTTTTTAAGGCCTCCCTGAGTGCTACTGTCAGGGAGGGGAAATTGGGAGCATGGTTGGTGGGCAAGGGGATCAGTCATGTGGGTCAGCTTTTGATGGG